TTTTCCTCCCTCCATGCTGCTCAAACATAAAATTAGTGTATTGGTTTAGAATTTTATTTTTTATAAAAGAAAATAGCGCGTGCTTTACCCATACGGACAGCGTACGATTTAGTCAGAAAAGTTTTGTTGGTGAGTTAGTTAGTACCATATTATTATTATTTTTTCTTTTTTGAGAAACCCTAGTCAGAAAAGCTTTAAAGACCGAAGATTAGATTTCTATTCGATACTAAATTTTTATTATTTTACCCATTGGGACTACGTTTGTTAACTACAGTGTGTATTTTGAACGCGCCTTTTACCACTATTGTTTTGAAACTCCGATGGACCGGTTAGTTTAATTGGAACCGATCTTAAAAACGGTCTGGATTATGATATTAATCTGGTAATGGTCAAAATCCACTAAATGTTCGATCAAATCCACCCCAACCTCGTAAAACTCGATAGAACCAAACTGGTTTTATTTTCATTAAATTTTTTATAATTATTTATTTTATTAATAATATAATAATTAAATTATAAAATTTATTTAAATTCAAATTAATACTCCTTTTATTTAAAAATAATAAATGCTTTTTATTTAGAATTTGTTCTAAAATTATAATTATCTTTTCATATTTTAAGGGAGAGAAATATTTTTTCTTTAATTTTATAATTATATTTTAATTTTAATTACCTATCCTATCATAAAAAATATTTTATTTTTATTCTATTTTTTAGGGGTAAAATAAGTAAAAATAAAAACTATTCTAAAATTCTTTATTTTAAGATGAAAATAAAAAACGTTTATTATTTTGGAACCGAAAGAGTATTAAGGAATAAGAAACTTCGTAATTTAAATTAATTTTAAAAAATAAAACTAATTTGAAATTAAATTATTATTTTGAATTAAAAAATGAAATTAATTTAAAAATAAATCAGTTCAATTTTAAAATAAAATAAATGATTACTTTAATCAAATAAATAAATAAAATCAATTTAAAATTAATTTATAATTAATAAAATAAATTTAATAATATTTACTAAGTTAATTGGTTGGATCAATTGATTTAACAAGTCTAGGCAGTTGAACTATAACCATGGTGACCAAAACGAATCAATCAGCACGTCGGGTTTTTTTTTTTTTGAGTAATTTGACATGGGTCAGAATCGAACCCATCCAAAAGAAAAAAAGATACACCTTCTCAATGTGATTATTACCCCTAGGCCCAAAGGGCCAGCTGCAGCATGTTGGGTTTTAAAACTCTATTTACGACAATGTTACATAACAAATAAACACTAAAGGACGTTAGTTTACATTTTCAAAAGCCCCTTTACTGTATGCTGGATGCGTCCTGGTTTAAGAGCTAGGATCAGCATGCTTGTGGGAATCTCGTTGAAAAGGCTCACTACCACTCAGGTTTCTGCCACAGAAACCAGACGGCAGCGGATTAAATACGAGAGACTGCCTGAGTTTTGTTACACCTATGGTTATGTGGAGCATACTGATTTTGATTGTGAGCTGGGTTTTAAGATGAAGGAAAATGGAGGCAAGATTCTAAAGCAGTATGGACTGGAGAGTGGCTTCATGCAAATTTGGCTGTTTGGGGGCCAATTTAGCTTAGTGAATGTGGATTATCTATCAGTCAGGAATCTTTAGCCCAGGCGCATAGTGCTAAAAGGAGTGTGGGTAAGGGCGAGAAGAAGGTAGTGGAAGTTTGTGGCTTTGGGGAGGATTCAATACAGAAGAAGACGCGGAAGATTAGCAAGGAGAAAAGACCCTTGCGAATTGAGGTGGCCTTGAATTATGAGAGCCGAGACCAAGGAGATCTCTATTGCGA